GCAGATACTAGACAATTTTAGTTGTTTCACATACCTTAAAAATGTAAGAGAGTTGCAAATTTCTAAAAATGTTTAAAAATAAAGGTGATTGAAGAGGGAAAAAAAACCAGATCACAAAAGAAGAAATTTCAGTAATGAACAACTTGAAATAAAGCTCCATCTTATTCAAATACAAACATGCTAATTCAAATAACAACAACATCTCTGAGCCCATCCGTTGGCAGCTATTTAAAAGACGACACAGCTCTGGAGGGCAAGAATGTGCTCATCCCAGGAGGACAGCGAGAAATCACAAGACGTGCTCACGGATGTGATTGGTTCTGGGTTTTGCTCTTTGGCTTTTGTTTTTAACCATCAGCATGCAATTTAAAGCCTGGAAAAAAGTAAGATATTTTCATTCTGAAAAAGGAAAGAATAGACGCACCCAGCTCTTTGCAAAAAATGGCGCATCCCCCAAGGGCTTGTCTTTACTACAGTTAAAGAATCCCTTTGCTGTTTGTGCAGACCCAAGCGGAATGCAGCGCCCTGGAGGCGTTTACGCAGACCTTGTGGCGCTGAGGCTGGTGTGGGCGCAGGTGGGCTCACAGAAGGCGTGCTCACAAAAAGGGAGACAGGAATAAGGTTTCTCAGATGCCCGAGTATTGTCCCTGGTAAGACCGAACTGTCCCGGGGGAGCAGACAGATGGTCTCTGGGCCATGTCCATTGCAAGCTTTCTGTAGTCAGTCAGCCTCATGCTTCGGGGGTGCTCTCGGTGGGAGGGTGGGGAGAAAGGGCTGGGGGCTGTCTGGGCAGCCTGGCGGTCCCGTCCCAAGTGTAGGTCTCCTGGGCCTGGGGGCACTGGCTGAGGGGGACTGGGCCGAGGAGCCAGCTGTCCCACCTGGGAGAGAAACCAGAGGGAGAAACCAGGCCCAGCCTGTCCCCAGTCCCCAGTGGGACCTTGGGCAGGTCACAGCCCCTCTGCGTGCCTCAGTTTCCTCTTCTGTGAAGTGGGATCATAAAAAACCCAAGATCGCTGTGAGGCACTTGCTCTCGGAAATCTCCGGGCACACATTGCCCACCTAGTGGCAATGTAACCTTGGCTGGGGTCCAGCCCTCGGCTCGAGTTGCCTCCTCCAGGTCCAGCCACTCTGTGAGGTCAACCAGGAGCCATTACTTAGCCAGCCCTGCCCAAAAAATATTTATTGAGCACCTGCTACATGCCAGACATCAGTCTGGGTGCTGCGGGACAGCAGCGAACAAAACCGGATTTGGGACACCGGCATTCTGGCTCTGCCAGCACGCTGTGCGTCCCTGGGCACGTCACGGCCCTCTCTGAGCCTGCTTCCTGTCCAAAGTAGGGAGAGAATTACACCAGCTTCACAAGCCTTTTGAGAGGGTCCAAGCAAGATGACATGTGTCGAGCACTGGGCAGAGGGAGGCACCCAGTGGTAGGGGGCATCCTTCCAGCAGGAACAGCCTGAATGCCAGTCCCGCCCTGTCTGCCCGCCAGCCCACCCTCAGAGACCCATGTCTGTCTGGTCCAGTGGACGAGACCGAGGGAACTGGGAGAAAGGATGCTGTGACTGCACTTCCCAGGCTTTGGAGGGAGGGACGCAGATTCAGTGGGCTCCGGCCACACCCCGTAAAAGGCTGGGCAGGCCTGCAGGGCCCTGCTTTTAGGGATGGGGAAACTGAGGCCAGAGGCAAGAAGTGCTCTGCCAAGGTCCCACCTTGTTTGGGGCTGAGGCTAGGTGAGGTCGCCAGGCCTCCTACCAGCTCTGTCCAGGGGGCTTTCTGGAGCCCCAGACTGGGGAGCCGTCCTGCAGGAAACCCCGGGTGTGACAGCGACATCATCTGACACCCCTACCCCTACCTCCCTCTCTCCTTCCTCTTCCTCCCCCACCCAGTCCCTGCTGTCCCTCCTCCTCAGCCCAGAGGAGGGCGATGACTCTGCCGCAGCCAGAAGCTTCTCCAGGAGGGTTTCCTGATCCTCAGTCTCCTCAACCCACTGGACACTGGACTACAGCAGAGAGTC